AAGGCAGTCGCCCAACCAACGGAGCCACCCAGGCGCCCCGAGAATCCACACTCTTGACCTATCTTGCCCCAGCACCTGGTGTCTCCGACATTTACCGAGTTGTTGCTGGTGCCAGGCTCAGAGCTAAGCCCTTTACCTACATTGCCTCATGATTGGCCCATTTTACAGATGGGGAAACTGAGGTCCCACTGTGTGTGGCTGGCAGAGCCCAGGCGTGTCCAACACGCTCCCAGCTGGCCGCCACGAGGCTGACTGCCATGTCCCATGCCACCATACAGGTGCCAGTGGGATGGGCAGCTACCACGGCAAGTTCTCCTTCGACACCTTCTCCCACCACCGTGCCTGCCTGCTGCGCTGGCCCGGGCTAGAGAAGATCTACTCTCTCCGCTACCCGCCCTACTCGCCTCGTAACCTGAGGATGCTGCTGGCGGCGATGGAGACCCGCAGCTGCAGCTGCACCCTGCTCTGAGCCTGGCTCACGCCTGTGAGTCTTCTGCCCCTGCCACCTGCGGCCAGTGCAGACGTGCCTCCAAGGAGGAAAAGACCACAGCCCAGACCAGTGCCTGCCCTCCTCCCCGCTGGGCCTTCTCTCTGCGAGCCCTCAGCCTCCTCCTCCCTCAGCTGCCCCCCAACTAGGACAGGCCAAGGCAAGGGAGCATGGGAAACAACGCGGTAACCCACGGTAACCCACTCCCCCACCCCCACACTAGCCACCCGAGTCCTGGGATAGGCCAGGAGATGTGGACACCTCTAAGCCACCCCCCCCTTCCCGTGGAGGATGCAGAAGGGGCCCTGGCATCTGGTCCAGGTCACACCGTGGACCTGCAGCGGCCTCGGCCCTGGGCAGAAATCCCTGCCCTCCCGGAGCTTGTTTCCCCAGCTGTACAGGGGAGGTGGTAACAATCAGCACCTCCAGAGATCACTGGGAGGATTCAGTTTTGGAGTTCAATAATAAATGAGCTGTCGATCCCAAGCTCCAGGCATCCTGTCTCCTCCTTTGGGTGGGGTCAGCCTGTCCCCTCTCAGGCCTCTCAGGAGTTCTGGGCACCTTCCTGTCCCCCCAGTGGCTGGCCCTGGGTGCCTTCCCTTCACCATGTCCCACACCAGACTCACCCTCTTCCCTGTCCTGCTCATCCTCCTGGGCCCTGATGCCATGGAATGGTCCCTCATCCACTCAGCCACCAAACTAAACCCCTGGGGCCCCCGGCTCAACACCCCGTTCTCACCTCCCAAGTCCCATCTTTGAGCAAGTCCTGATGGTCCTATAATGCTGCAGAACTTGCCAATCCACACACTGGTCACCATGCCCAGGGCCATTTGTCACCTCCCCTTTCCCCACAGGCCTGACCTCAGTACACCACTGACCTTCCCAAAGCTACTGGACCATGCCACCCCTCAGCCTGAACCCTTCAGTGGCTCCCTGTGGCCGCAAGTCAGGACCCACGAGTCCTTGGAGGGCTCCTCCACAGCCCTGTGTCCCCACACCTGGCCTGTCGTCCTTCTCAAGAGGACCTCTGCACACACGCTGGGCATGCCTGCCCTTGGCCTGCCCTATTCCTCCTCGAAGTCAGCTTGGCCATCACATCATCCAAGAAGCCTTGCAAGACCACCTCCCACTACCCCGCCCACCACCAACACACAGGCGGCCCCAAGGGCCTTCTCCGTGCCTGCAGCCTCCGGGGTCCCTCTGCCACACAATCGATCCACTGGGAGGAAACAGTTTGGTGGCTGTTGAGGGACAGGGATCACGAGTCACACACATCGAGGTGAGACTCAGGAGGCCGCACTTTGCAGCTCTAACGCCTGCGCAAAGTTCCTAAACTAGTCCGTGCCTCAGTTTCCCCATTAGGAAAGCGAGAATAATCCTCCACACAGGGCTTCTGGGTAAAGGTTTAGCACCGAGCAGGCACGGCTCCCGCGGAATCACCGCCGGCCACAGTTCTCTGCACCGTTATCACAAATACCCCGCAGCGACCCAGCCTCTCCTCCGGCCCAGGGCTCCAGGTCTGACCCGGAGCTGCTTCCTAAGCCACGCCCCGGACGTCCCGCCTCCAGTGGCGCCGGAGTCCTCGCTTATTGGCCTCTCCAATCCAACATGGCGGCGCCCTGCGCAACTCCAAGAGTCGGCTCTCCCCTAGCCAATCAAAGGAAAGATGCTCTGGATCCCGCCTCTTTCAGCTGAGCCACTGGCCAATCAAGCCACACCGTAAAAGATGGGCGAGGAAAAGGTGAAACCAGCCGGCCCAATGGCAGCGTCTCAGAGTGTAGGCTCCGCCTCTCGGCGGGCAGGCCGCTCAGCAAAGGAAGGAGCGAGAGCCTTTCAAGGTAGGTGTTGGGGCTCAGCTGTTAAAAGCCGGGCCTGGGCGGTGCGGCGTCGGGGGTGAGTGTGGTGCTCTCCTCGGCCCCGCCGGCTCTGCGGCCGGGCTTCATCTCGGCCTGCTCAGGGCTGGCGGTCCAGGTGTCCTTCGGCGTGCTGCGGGCGGACCCGGGAGCCGGCACCGCCAAGGCGCATGCCCCGCCCGCGTCCGTGGGGTCGGAGGTCATGGGGAAGGTCCGGGCAGGTGTCAGGCTAGAGGGCGCCTGGCGCTGGAGTCAGCGGTCCGAGGAGTGGGGCCCGCGGGAAGTCATCTGTCACGGGAGGGTCACTTTTTGAGCTTCGGCTAGATGCCAGGCTCTGGGCATGTACAACCCCCTTCGCTCTCATGACCCCCATTTAACAGATGAGAAAACGTGCAAGATGACCTCACCCGCCCAAGGTCACTTGGCAGGCGGGGAGACCGTTCCAGAAGGACCTTGATGGTGGGGAAAGGAATGTGGTCCCGAGGGTTATTAAGCCTTTAAAGGGTTTCGCGCGCATGGGGTGGGGGGGCGGGGGGAGGAGTGTGGGTGTAAAGGGAGGAGTCTGGCCTGAGTTCAGGTACTGGTACTTTGGGCAAGTCACTTAACACGGCTGAGCTTCAGCTTCCCATCTGGGCCTCTCGTGGGGTCCTTGTAAGGACCGGATGACAGTGTGTGTGACCCCCTAACACAGTGCCTGACACCGTGAGCTTTCCATCCTGGTGACTGCTGGCAGTGTTATTTGGGTCAGATCTGGGGAGGATGAACAGGGGAGGGGAGAGATAGAAGGGATGGATTTTAAAGATTTCTTAGATGGTGAGATAAGATGGGACACGGGGTGGGGGGGGGCGCGCATGGGTGGCTCAGTCGTTAAGCATCTGCCTTTGGCTCAGGTTATGATCCCAGGGTCCTGGGATCGAGCCCCACATCGGGCTCCCTGCTCCACAGGGAGTCCGCTTCCCCCTCTGCCTGCCGCTCCCCCGCTTGTGTTCCCTCTCTCACTGTGTCTCTCTCTCTGTCAAAAAAATACATAAAATCTTTTAAAAATAATAATAAAAAAAAAAAGATAGGACACGGGGTCCACAGATACTCCCTAACTGTTATCCCCAGCTGAGCTGGGTCAGGTTTGCAGGGCTGGGAGGTGCCGCTCTTGGGAGCAGGGAGGCCTTCTGTGCCTCTGTTGGGAATGGGGGTAAATCGGAGACCAGGTGACACAGCAGCACTGAGGTCCCGGCTCCTGCTGTGCCAGAGTTCCTATGGGGACAGGCCTGGGACCCACCCGTGCCTCCCTCCCTTTTCATGCCTGCAGATGCGCTGCCTGACTACCCCAACACTGCTTCGGGCCCTGGCCCAGGCTGCACATGCAGGTAGGACCGAGGGAGCCTTTCCTGGGGTGCAGGGGGGAGCCCAGTCTCCCGACACGGGGCTGCAGCTGCACAGTGTAATCCCTCCCCTTCCAGGGCGTCCCACTGGCCGGAGCCTCCACAGCAGCACAGTGGCAGCGACCTACAGTGAGTCCTGGGGCACCTTGACCCTCAGGCTTTCCTGATCATGAACCTGCCAGAGGCAGGGGTGGAGGCCTGGGTTCTAGTCCTGGCTTTGCCAGAGGCTCCCCCTCTCTGAGCCTCTGTTTCTACTCTGTGCGATGATCAAGACTGAATATGATTCATGGGGGCAGGGTCTGTCAGTGAGGGGGTGGGGAGCCTTCCCTGTGGCCACACATTGAGCTCAGAGCTCCCTTACGTGGGACAGGGAGGGAGCTGCCAGGTGTGAGGCTCGGGTGTCCGTCCTCTGCCAGGACCTCACCGCCCAAGCCCCTTCCCACCCTCCTCAATTCCCGGGCTCGGACGGCTGCCCACACACAGGGAGAAGTGGGCAAGGACTGCCCGGAGCCAGAGACAGGCCCTGAAGGGTGCTTGCTGAGGCCGGAAGGTTTGATGAATGAATAAGCCCTTGGGGCCCAGCTGGAAGGAAGACGAGGCCCTGTCTCCCTGAGTTGGATTCCTCGGGGACATGGGCACATGAGAGGCCCTGCCACGACCCCTTCTAAGCCCACCTCCCCTGCAGAGTTCGTGAACATGCGGGACCCCTCGATGGACATGAAGGCGGTGACCGACAGGGCGGCTCAGACCCTGCTGTGGACTGAGCTCATCCGAGGTGGGCCCTAGGGGAAGGGGGCTTGGCAGGACGGGGGATGGGCACAGACTGTTAGGGAGGAGGGGCTCCCACCCACCGTGCACCTGCTGCCCACAGGCCTGGGCATGACCCTGAGCTACCTGTTCCGGGAGCCTGCCACCATCAACTACCCATTCGAGAAGGGCCCACTGAGCCCTCGCTTTCGGGGAGAGCATGCACTGCGTCGGTATCCATCGGGAGAGGAGCGCTGCATCGCCTGTAAGCTTTGTGAGGCTGTCTGCCCCGCCCAGGTGAGCCCCTGACGCCTGCTGACCGCCACCCTGGCCCCTGCCACTCACGGGGGAGGCTGCAGCCCTGAGCAGGCCACATGACACCTGTGGGTCCTGCCATCGGGGATCTGGTCAGCGGTGTGAAACCTGGGCTTGGGAGCCACATGGTGGTACCTGAAAGTCTCCAGTCTTACCCTGAACGCAGCAGCAGTTTTAGGATCTCTGTGTGTGTGCCTGTCACCAGCCCCAAGGACACACGTGCCACAGCTGAGGCCTTCCCTGCCCCCGGGTGCTGCTGCTTTGAGCCCCCAGCATTAGTTCTGTTGGAGGGCCCTACACGGATCCCCCCGCTGGAGTCAGGACCCATTAGTGTAGGAACACATCCAGTTGGGGCGCCCGGGTGGCTTAGTCAGTTAAGCGGCCGACTCTTGGTTTCGGCTCAGGTCATGATCTCAGGATCGTGAGATCAATTCCCACATCGGGCTCTGCGCTGAGTGCGGAGTCTGCTTGGATTCTCTCTGTCCCTCTGCCCCTCCCCCCTGCCCCCTGCACGCACTCCGTCTCTCTCTCAAATAAATAAATTTTTAAAACGAAAGGAAAGATCCAGTTGAGGCTCTCAGGCAGACCCATGGGCGTGCCCAGCAGGAGCGCCAGGCACTGTGGTCACTCACCGTCCACACAGTGAGCGCCCCCTCCCAGCGGCTGCTGCAGGCCATGGGCCGTGGCCTTGATGTCTCTGATCCTGGAGCACAGGAAGGCCATGAGCATCGGGCATGGACCAGGCACTGTTCCAGCTCATGACTTACTTTTACAGCAACTCCAGGACGTAGAGGTTGTTTCCCCCATTTTTATAGAGGAAACTGAGGCACGAAAAAACAAGGCTACCAGCCTAAGGTCCCACTGAATAGTGGGCATTACACTCCTGGGGACACGTGAGGGCCTTTGGCAAACCCCCTTTAAACATTCTTCCGGCCGTGGGAGGCCCCAGGCCTTCTCGCTGCTGGCATAGGCCGTACCCAGAAACTGAGGGTTAAGGACCTACCTCGAGTCTGGGCTTTGCCCCTCACTTGCTGTGTGGCTTTGGGAAGCCCTTCAACTTCTCTGAGTCTCATCCATGAAAGGGGGATAACGATGTAAATGGGAAGGTTGTTCAGTATACAATGACCAGCAGTCGAGCAAGTCCTGGGGACCCCCCGCCCCGGGGCCACAGGTGCTGCAGTGAACACGGCATGTTACAGCCCTCCCCTCGTGAGACCTGGTCTCTCCGGCAGCAGGTGCCGGCGGTTGACAAAAATGGCAGCTAGGGCAGTGTGACGGGGGCCTCTCGGGAGAGGCAGTGGGAAGGGCACATCAGGCTGAGAGCGGGTGGCAGGTCTGCTCTGGGGCCCTAGGGTGAGCCCCCAGGAGGGGGCAGACACGAGCAGTCAGGGACGCCCGGTACCCCTCTCCCAGGCCATCACCATCGAGGCTGAGCCGCGGGCCGATGGCAGCCGCCGGACCACCCGCTACGACATCGACATGACCAAGTGCATCTACTGTGGCTTCTGCCAGGAGGCCTGCCCGGTGGACGCCATCGTCGAGGTGAGCGGGCCTGGGGTGGGGCGGGGCCGGGGGCAGAGGCTCTTCGGAGGGGCCTAACGGGGCCGCACCTGCACCCGCCCACAGGGCCCCAACTTCGAGTTCTCCACCGAGACGCACGAGGAGCTCCTGTACAACAAGGAGAAGCTGCTCAGCAACGGGGACAAGTGGGAGGCCGAGATCGCCGCCAACATCCAGGCCGACTACCTCTACCGCTGACGCCCCCCGCCCGGCTGGCCCGCGGCCCCTGCCGCCCAATAAAAAAGCTCTGCCCTCCCGCACTGCCTCTGTCATGACTCAGCTGGCCAGGCCGGGACGGTGCAGCCCGGCTGCAGCCCGTGGGTCCCTCCCCTCGCAGGCCCTTCAGGGGAGCTAGCGGAGGTGACCTGGCCTTCCCGTGGGACTCTGGGGGCCGTGGCTGGGCCGCCAGCCCCCCCTGCTGCGCACACTTCTTCCTGGGCATACTCCCCAAAGCTTAGTCTCGGGTCTGCTGTCCCCACGATCCTGGATGTCCAAAGGGTAGGGCCACGCACAGCTACGGCCCTATGGCTGTCAAGTCTCCTGAGGCTTCGGGCAGAAGGCCAGCGAGTGGCGGAACCTCAGAAAGGCCAGGGTGTCCTTGTTGGGGGCAGGGAGAGGCCTGCTCCAGGGCAGCAGTCACAAGGAGGTGACACAGGCCCTGCTGCCCCTGAGCTGGCCTTGCCTCATCTCCAGCCACATCCCCTTTCTGCCCCAAGTTCCCCAGAGCTGGCTGCAGGGCTTGGCTGCCGCCCTCGGAACTTCTGCTTTGCGATCCAGCAGAGGTATGGTTCTCTGCGGGGCCGTGTGCTCGCCCCGTGCGGATGGAGCGGCGAAAAGCCGCCCCCCCGGGACTCGGTGCCAGGCACCGTGAAAGGGCTTCAGCCCGTCCCCAGCTGTGAGCACACCAGCTCAGAGAAGGGAAGCGACTTGCTCGGGATCACACAGCATGTGTCCCATGAAAACACTAGCTCAGGTCAGGGATCTGGGCCCCTCCTTCCTTTTCCACCGTTTCCAAAAGCACTCTACAAAACACTAACCTCCCGTGATGCTTTGTCTAAAGAAAAGGGAGGAGAGTTGTTCCATGGACCAGTCAGCATGGGAAATGCCCCAAGTGCCCTCTTTCCTCAGATAGGCACTTCATGTGAGCACATTCAAGGCTCTGAGAAGGCCTGTAGCAAAGAACCCCAGCCTTCCTCCAGCTCATTCCCTTTGTTCATGACTGCTGACACCTGGGCCATCGTCCTGGTGCTGAAGTGGGCAGGCCCTGCCTGGGCCCCCACAGCCTAAGGAACAAGGCGCAGAGGTGAGAAAGTGCAGGACCCGAAGGGAAGAGCAGAACCTAGGAAGTGTCCGTGTGCCCAGCGCCCTGCAGCCCTAGTGGCTGTGGGAGGCAGGAGCCCTGCAGCAATGAAACGGGCTTGCAAATTCTAAATCACCTCTAACTGCACTTTTCCCAGATAGAACCAGCATTAGGTCGTTGTCGTGGAGCCTATATTTGTACACAGAACACATCTGTTAGAAATGGGTCAGACTGTCCAGCTCCTGACTTGGTTCTTTCCTTTTCTGACTTGTCAGAAACTTTGTGCGTGATTCAGGAGGGTCCTTCTAACGCCGTTTTGTAACAGCGGGGTTCCGGTTTCCCCTGCGCCAGGAAGTATTGGCCTGAGGCCCCCACTGGTGCTCAGTTTGGTTGTGTTGAGGGTCCCTCCCCTGGAAACGGGCCTATGATGCCCCAGAACTGGGTCCCCCCATTTTTCTGAGGATGTTGACCTTGGCTGTAACTGTTTCCACCCCCAGCTCTGGGCCTCTGTTTGCCGACAGCTCCCCTACCCCTCAGAGGACCTTGCCATGTGAGGTTCAAGGATCACCAGAGCTGAGAGGCCCCCTGTCCCTCCTGTCCCCAGTGGGTATGGTCCTGGCCTGTCCAGAGTGCAGGCAGCTGGACATTCGTGACCTCCGTTCAGGGGTGCTGGGACATGACCAAGCGGGGGGCTCATTAGCAAAGTCACTGGGACACCCCCAGCCGCAGGACGAGCAGCAACTACCATTGGGTGCCCTGCCCTGAGTGGAACAACACAGCCATGGCCCAGCCCTCAGTATCCCGGTGCCATTGAGGAAAAATGCCCAGAGAGGGGCAGCATCCACCCAAGAGCACAGAGCCCTGGGCCTGGAGCCCAGGTGGGCCGGGCCCTAGGCCTGGGTGGTCAGAGGCAGGAAGATGTAAGGACGGGGTGCAAATGCGGCCTCAGGAAAAGGGTCCCAGAGGTGGGGAAGCGGGCTGGGACACGCGGCTCTTGGACCCCAAGCCTCAGTGTTTTGGGGTCCCATCAGCGAGCCCTCTAGGTGGGGGGGGGTTTCCCATCCTCGAGCCCCGGAGGCCTCCCCGCACCCGCATCCCGGCCACGTAGGCGGGCGCGGTCGGCGCTGCTCGGTGTCTCCGCTCGGGAATCCCGGCCTCCCCGCCCCACGCCCCCAGTGGTCCCCCAGCCTCCCGCGAGGAGGCGAGGGCGGGCAGGGTCGCCGCCCGAGCCCTGCCTCCCCGCCGGCCGCTCGCGGGACTCCGGTGCCCCTCCCCACCAGGCCCGGACGGGACGGGGCGGGGCTTCCGTGGTCCCGCCCCTTGCGGCCCCGCCCGCCGGGGAAAGTGAGTTGCGTGGGCGCCGCGACCCGGAGCGCAGAGCCGGGAGCGCAGAGCCGAGCAGTGGCGCGTGCGGCCGACCCTGGGGTGAGTGTGCCCCAGCCGGGGTCTGCAGAGCCCCCCAGCTCCGACTGCCACCCTCGCTTCGCCCTGCCCCGGGAAGGGGTTCCTGGAACCCCCGCCCGGCTGGGTCAGTGCATGCGACTCAGTCTGCCGGCCCGCCGGGTGTCGGGCCTTGGTGGGGCCACAGTGGCGACGAGGAGGAGGAGGAGGTGGGGGAAGGGAAGAGGAAGAGGAGGTTGGGGAGTTAACAGCCGCTAACTACTGGGCCCAACTCTGCCCATCCTGGTAGTGCTCTGGTGGCGCTCAGGGCTTTCTCTGTGGCATCTTCCTCGGAGGGAGGGACCCATTCTACAGATGAGGAAATTGAGGCCCACCCAACTAGGAAGAGGCAGAGCTAGAGGCAAGTGGGGTCACTCTAACTCTAGAGCCTACCAGTCTGGAATAGGGGAAGCAGCAGGCCGTCTCCTCCAGCTCAGCTCTCATCATCATGGATTAGAGGCTCAGAGGAGAGATCTGGTGGGTTCCTGAAGGAGGTGGGGGGCGGATAGAGTGAGGAGGGGGCTGCAGTCTTGGACTCTGAAGGCCACAGGACTGAGGAAACTTCATTTGCTCCATTAAAAGGAGTGGGGTGGCCCCTGGCTTGGGTAGGGGCCAGGGAGGAGGGGGGGAAAGGGGTGAGCCAGTGGAGTCCTCAAATGTGGGGGAGGGGTCTGACCAGGTTCCTACACACCCCACCCACCCCACCCAAGGGTATTCCCGCCCGAGGGACTTGCCCTAGGCTAAGGCCCTGTGAGTGAGGGGTACCAGGCTGGATTTGCCACAGCCTGGGGCTGCTGCACCCCCTGGGTCCCCAGACCTCGTTCTCTACAACCCCCTCATCTGTGCAGCCCAGCCTTTCAGGGTGCCCTGGGGAGAGAACTGCCCTCCCCTAGCCCATACTGTGCACTGGGACTTCCAGACCTGCCTCCGGCCTGACTTGGCCACTGGCTGACCACCTGATCCCAGACCTCACCTCTCCAGATGCACTGACCCGTCCGTTGAAACTCTGTAAAACAAGGGTACAGGGTCCTCTTTCCCCAGGATTGCTGTTAGGTTTCAATGAGGTAGCATGGGTGAAGGGTTACGTGGAGGCTCTATTTTTGTCTTCTCACTCAGGTCCTGTCTCTCCTGGGGGTGGCAAGTCCCATTTACCCGAAGAGGAAGTAGAGGCCCAGAGAAGGTGAGAGACTCCCCCAAGGACACACAGCCAGTCACAGCTTGAGCCACACTCTGGAGCCTGGTCCCCGGCCCTCTGGGGATGGAACCTAGCTCCTCCTGCCCACCCTTCCCTGTCCGGGACCCAGTACTGCTGCGGTCTCCGGCTCCCTCTCTGCCTTCTCTCCTCTTCCAGGCTGGGGCCGGGGCTGCAGTCCCTATTTAGACTGAAGGAAACAGGCCCAGGGGAGGAAGTGACCAGCTGGGCAGGGCCCCGCTGACCCAGACAGCAGGCGGGGCACTTTGGCACCAAATGATCACCCTCAGTTGGGGACCTCACCTGTACCCGTCCCCTTCCCTGACACTTTGAGCGCTAGGGAAACTGAGTCCCACAGAGGGGAAGTGGCTGGCCCCAGGCCCCAAGAGCAGCGGCTGTGGAGTCCTGGCTCATGGCTGGGGCATCTGCAGGGCTTCCCCCCGCGGCGTCTGGGCAGGGCCCCGCCAGGCCGTCCTGCCCATGTCAGCTTCCACAGTTTCGCTTTCGTGGGTTTCGACACCTGGAAGGCTGTTTCCGCCCCTATTTGGCCATCGGTCGCCAAGCGGTCCAGGCCTCGGTGGAAGGTTCCCCCGCCCTCAGGCCTCTCTGCCCTCAATGAGGCTCCCACCCCCTCAGCACACACAGACACCTCAGGGAGGGAGGGGGCTCCAGCTGCCGGGGGGCGGGGCAGGGACAGCCCCAACCTCAGCCCCGGCTGTCTGTTGTCATGGATGGACGCTCCTTGGTATAGAAGGACAAGGGTTCATGGCCAGCCGAGGGCTGTGGCAGTTAAGAGGCCACTGCTGGAGGCGACCCTTGGCCTGGGGCCCCAAGGATGAGCAGGATCTAGGGTGAGGGCAGGTCACAGAGGAGAGACAGTGGGAGCAGAGGGCACGTGTGAGAAGAGCCAGCGGCCACCAGGGCTCGGGGTGGGTGCCTGGGGCGGGGCAGAGCCAGCCGGGAAAGAGCTTGGCGGGGGGGGGGGTCAGGCCGTGAGGTCAGCCAGGGCGGGCTCCACTCCCAGCTGCACCGCTTACTTCGTGTGTGACCTCAGCACCCCTTCGAGCCTTCCCGGGCCTCAGTTTCCCCATCTGTCAGACGGGGTTGGTAGCAGGACCTTCCATGGATCACGTGAGCCGAGGTGGACAGAATTCCTAGTCGGTGGGGAGCTGTCTGGCCCGCCCTGATGAGCCTTCCGCCCCGGCCCGGCCCGCAGGACCATGGGCTCCATGTTCCGGGGTGAGGAGGTGGCGCTGGTCCAGTTCTTCCTGCCCACAGCTGCTGCCTATACCTGTGTGAGTCAGCTTGGCGAGCTGGGTCTCACGGAGTTCAGAGACGTGAGTGGGGCCGGCCAGGCGCGGGAGGGGGCTCGTCCTGACGCACCCTGGATGGTATACCACCTCCTCCCCAGAATGGCCCTTGCTCGAATGCCGGCAGCCCCTGCCCTGGGTACGCGGCTCTCTGAGAGGCCAGCCTTGCGGCCGAGGCCACCTCGCCTCCGGGGCCCTGTCGCACCCTCCCCAGAGCACGTAAAGCCTGGTCTGTCTGCAGCTGGGCGTCTGGAGGTTCAGGGCATGTTCGGCACCTTTCTGGGGGGAGGGAGCTATGGCCCGCAGAGAGCCAAGCCTGGGCCCCTGGGTGGGACCTCCCTGGCCCCCTCCCCAGAAATCTGACCCCTCTGTGCGGCAACCACAGCTCAATGCTTCGGTGAGCGCCTTCCAGAGACGCTTCGTGGGGGATGTTCGGCGCTGTGAAGAGCTGGAGAAAACCTTCAGTGAGTTGGCCTCAGGCCCACATCCCAGGCAGGCTTCCTGGAGGAGGTGCCAGTCGAGCTTGGCCTGAAAGGAAGAGTCCTGGCCCCCCAGGTGGAAGACAGAAGGGAGGTCCAGGCCAGGCCCTGCAGAGCCAGGACAGGGCAGCTGGGGTCCGTGGGGTGCTCTTGAGAATGGGGCTCACTTGGAAGAGGCCTCAAATATTGCACGAGGACCTAGGAATTCATCCAGTGGATGCTGGGAAGCACTGTGGTTTCTAAGCAGGGGAGAGGCATGGACAGAGCTTTCTCTGCTACAGATGGACTGGGGCGGGCAGAGGCCGGTATCCAGGGTCAGGTGCCCCAAGGAGCCGCTTCTTCAACCCACGCAAGAGGGGCCCTTGCCCTGCACTCTGGCAGCCCCTCCCAGGAGGAGCCTATGGGAGGGGAGAATAGAGCATATTCGTTTAATGGTTGGTTAGCTTGACGGATAGCTTTTAAGTCATCAGGCAGGTGGTATGTGCGCCTCCGTGCACGCTCTTGTCCCAGGCCCCCCAGTGCTCTGGCCAGCCTGCCTGGAACACCACTGTGGGACCCAGGCCCTGAGCGGGGCAGTGGCCAAGGGAGAGCAGGGAGGGAGAGCTCACGAGGAGGAGAGCGGACCTTTGGGGCTAGAGGTTTGGCCTGGGGTTTTTCTGGGGGTCTTGGACTCAGCAGCCAGGTGAGTTTGGGGCAGTGTTTGGGACCCCCTAGACATTAGGTGGCCCTTGGCCAACAGCGGCCATGAGCTGGTGCGGGCCCCCGAATGGCCTCCCCTGACGCCCATTGCTCTGCACCCAGCGTTCCTGCAAGAGGAGGTGCGGCGGGCTGGGCTGGTGCTGCCCCCACCCGAGGGGAGACTGCTGGCACCCCCACCCCGTGACCTGCTGCGCATCCAGGAGGAGACGGATCGCCTGGCCCAGGAGCTCCGGGACGTGCGGGGCAACCAGCAGTCCCTGCGGGCCCAGCTGCACCAGCTGCAGCTGCATTCCGCCGTGCTGGGCCAGGGCCACCACCTCCCGGTCAGCGCCAGCCCCGGGATGGGGGGGCAGGGGGGTGCCAGGCCCCCACGTGGGCGCGCGGGGCTCACGGTGCCTCTTGGCCCGCAGTTGGCAGCCGCCCCCACGGATGGGCTCTTGGAAAGAAGTCCCCTGCTCCAGCCCCCGGGGGGGCCCCACCGGGACCTGAGAGTCAAGTAAGTAAGGGGCGCTTCAAGCTCTTTCCTGTCCGACTCCTCGTCCAGTGCTCTCCTCCTCCACCCTCAGACTGCCCCCAGCCTCCTCCTTCAGGCCCAGAATCTCCCTCGCTCGTGGGAGTTTCCCCTCTTCTGGCCTGGCCTCGGGCTCCGGCCCCCTCCCGGGGAGCAGGGCGGGTGTGCCTGCTTGGCCGTCCTGAGCAGGGTGGCCGGCCCGGCAGCTTCGTGGCAGGGGCTGTGAAGCCCACCAAGGCCGCCGCCCTGGAGCGCCTGCTCTGGAGGGCCTGCCGGGGCTTCCTCGTCGCCAGCTTCAGGGAGACGGAGCAGCAGCTGGAGGACCCGGTGACGGTGAGGGCTGGGGAGGCCCGGGCGGGGGGCGGCGGCGGGGGGCGGCGGGACTCCCGGTAAAGCGGGCCCCCTCCCGCAGGGTGAGCCTGCCACGTGGATGACCTTCCTCATCTCCTACTGGGGCGAGCAGATTGGGCAGAAGATCCGCAAGATCACGGACTGGTGATGACCCTGGTGCCCCGGCCCGCCCCCCGCCCTGCACAACCAGAGCCCCCTGCCCGCCCCCCACTCACGCCGCCCCCTCCCCTGCCAGCTTCCACTGCCACGTGTTCCCGTTCGTGGAGCAGGAGGAGGGCCGCCTCGGAACCCTGCAGCAGCTGCAGCAACAGAGCCTCGAGCTGCAGGAGGTGGGCGCCCGCTCGCGGCCCCGGCTGGACGCCCCGCCGGCCCCTGGCCGCAGCCCGCCCTCGCTCACCCCCGGCTCTGGCCTCAGGTCCTGGGGGAGACGGAGCGCTTCCTGAGCCAGGTGCTGGGCCGGGTGCAGCAGCTGCTGCCGCCCTGGCAGGTGCAGATCCGCAAGATGAAGGCCGTGTACCTGGTGCTCAACCAGTGTAGCGTGAGTGCCACCCACAAGTGCCTCATCGCCGAGGGCTGGTGCGCCTCCAGCGACCTGCCCACCCTGCAGCAGGTGCTGCAGGGCAGCTCGGTGAGTGCGGGGGGCGGCGCTGGAGGGGGCTCTCCCGCGCTCCCCTTCTCCCGGCACGCTTCCCGTCCCCGGGCTCCCCTCCTTCAGGGAGTCTGCCCTGAGGACCTGGCCCAAGCCCTCCCCGTCCTGCTGTCGGAAGCCCGGGGAGGGGCCAGAGCACCCGGGAGGCCGGCTCATCAGGCACTGGCCCCCGAGGCCTTGAGCCGCTGGAGGGAGCCTCAGGCTACTCATCTGTGAAATGGGTGTGATGGCCCTCCCGGGGTCGCATAGCGTGCCTACCGGCAGGCTGCCAACACCTAGTAGGGGCTCACACGTGGCAAGGGGGCTCCCTCTCCTGGGCCACCTGGATAAGCAGCATGCTCCTGTTTCCCAAGCGAATTCTGGTCCAGCTGATCTCGGGCTCTCCCTAAATCACCCTGAATTGGGGCAGGTGGCGCTGCTGGTCCTATTTCACAGAGAGGGGAGAGGGGAGGGGCTGTCCCAGATCTCCCGGGTGCCTGCCCGGTGAGCCCCACATCTCCAGCTGGGTCTGGCTGGGGGGTGTCAGAGGGTCCCTGAAGGCCTCCCGCCGTCAGTCTCATGTGTCTGTCCGCCCCTCGGGTGCCTCAGAGTGAGGCGGGTGTGAGCGCCGTGGTTCACCGCATCCCCTGCCGGGACATGCCCCCCACACTCATCCGTACCAACCGCTTCACGGCCAGCTTCCAAGGCATCGTGGACGCCTACGGCGTGGGCCGCTACCAGGAGGTCAACCCAGGTGAGAGCCGGGGAGCCCCCAGCCCGGGAGGGCGGCATCTCCACACTGGGCCTGTCCTGCCTCCTTAAGATGAGAAACACACTCCCATCATGTTGGGGAGCAGGGGGAGGCATCGTGCAAGCTTTAGGTTTACCCCCAGCAACCGCCCCCCTGCCCAGTCAAGCTTGCAAGGGATCCAGCACAAGGTTGTGCAAAGAACAGGCTTTGCAGCAGGAAGGGCTCAAGTTTGAGTCTGACTCGCTTACCCTGGCCCATTTCTTAAGTTGCTCTGAGCCTCCGTTTCCACATCTATAAAATGGGAATAAGAGTTCGGCCCTCAGAGCAGGCTGAGAAGGTTGACAGATTGCAGATCAGCAGTCCATGAGGCCACAGTCAGCCTGCTGAGCTGCTTCGTCCGGCCCCACTGTGTGTTTAAGAAGTTTGACTTGGGTGCTGTCGGGTTCTCCCAGAAGCGGGCCCTGAGCGGGGGAGTCTGGCGCAAGTGGCCTATGAAGAGAGGTGCTGCTGGGAGAAACCAGTAGGGAAGCAGCTGAGGGGTGGGGAGTTGGGGGGCAGGCAGGGGGCCGTGGCATCTGCCTGTCACCTGCCCAGTTCTGCTGCCTCCAGGCTGGCTGCCGGGTGGTCAGTGGCCCAGCACGCCCCCCGTGTCACTGGGTGGGGACCGCAGTGGGTCTCAGCCCAGAGAATGGGGGTGGGAGGTGAGCCGTGGTGGGGCCCATTTTCGGAGTCATAGGCCAGGGAAGGGTCTGGCGTCAGCCGGTGGGCTAGAGGCAGGGCGCACGGCCCCCCAGCGCAGTACAGGCAGAACACGAGGATGGACCGTGAGGCCGAGTGAACAATGACCAGGGTCACGTGCAGTCCTTTGGGGCCTGCCATCCCTGCAGGATCTGCGTCGCAGAGCTTGAGCTTGGGGCCCGCATCCCGTGTCACATGCTCGTGGTTCCTGTGTGTTAGCAGAGGCCCGTCCAGTTAGAACAGGCCTGATCACCAGATAGCCACGGTTTGTGAGGCTGATGATCAGCCACCAGGCCTCGGGGCGTTCACTCGGGGAGGTAGGAGGCGGCTCGGGCTGCTGTAACAAAGCACCACAGATGGGGGCCCTTACAGGTGTCTCTTGTCTCCTGGTCCGGAGGCTGGAAGTCCGAGATCCCGGCGTCAGGTGCTTCCTTCAGGGGAGATGGCCCCGGGGGGGGGCCTCTGCTCTGGGCCGGGAGACGGCCAGCTTCCTGCTGAAATGGCGGTGGCCTCCCACTGAATGGGTCTGGGGACCTTCGTATCTGTGAAGATCCCGCCTCCACCTTCGGGTCGCCTTCTGAGGGGCTAGGACTCCAGCTCCTCTCTTCGGGAGGGACACGACTCAGCTCGGAACAGGGACGCGCACTGCAGTCCTGTAACTCCCATTAGGGATTTGGCCCATTTTACTGAAGGGAAAGCGAGACCTCAGAGGTGACGTGACCAGCTCGGCTTTCTGGGACTTGCCACGTGCCCGTCAGGATGGCCACGGGCTCTCTGTCCTTTCTGAGCTTCTGCTTACGGCCCTGGCAGTAACCCCGGCGGGAGCTGGTTTGCACCGAGTGCTGCGGCCCGCCAATCCCGCCCCTGCGAAGTCGGAGTGCTGCTGCCTCCGGTGTACAGATGGGGAAACCGGGGTTCAGAGAGGCTGAGTCACTGGCCCGTGGTCACACAGCCAGGACCCGCGGTCTGGCGTCCCTGCCTCGCCAGCACCCCCTCCACGTTTCCCCGGGTCCCAGCCGCGCACGTCCCCCTGACCGCCTGGCCCCTCTGCCCGCAGCGCCCTACACCATCATCACCTTCCCCTTCCTCTTCGCCGTGATGTTCGGGGACGTGGGCCACGGGCTGCTCATGTTCCTCTTCGCCCTGGCCATGGTGCTCGCTGAGAACCGGCCGGCCGTGAAGGCGGCGCAGAACGAGGTGAGGGGGGGCGGGGCGCGGGGTGGGGTGGGGGAGGGCCGGGGCCACCCCTCATGGCGCCCCCCGGCCCCAGATCTGGCGGACCTTCTTCAGCGGCCGCTACCTGCTGCTGCTCATGGGGCTGTTCTCCGTCTACACCGGCTTCATCTACAACGAGTGCTTCAGCCGCGCCACCACCATCTTCCCCTCGGGCTGGAGCGTGGCGGCCATGGCCACCCAGTCTGGCTGGAGGTGAGGCCCGGCCGCGGCCCCCGCGGCCCCCACGGTCCCCGCGGCCCCCGGCAGCCCCTGACCGCCCGCCCTTGTTGCCACAGCGACGCGTTCCTGGCCGAGCACCCACTGCTCACCCTGGACCCCGCGGTCGGCGGTGTCTTCCTGGGACCCTACCCCTTCGGCATTGACCCCGTGAGTCCCGGCCACTTGCTGTGGGGGGCGCGGGCCGGTGGGAGGGCCGGGCCGGGGCTCCTGCGCTAACCCTGGCCCAACCTCGACCCTGATGCTAACCCTTAGCCTCGTCCTCCTTCCGCCACATTTGCGAGCCCCTCCCGAGGGCCTGGCCCGGTGGTGGGTGCGGGAGGTGCGGGGCTCGCAAGGACGAGGGGCCCGCCTTGCGGCAGCCCCGTCAAAACAGAGAGGAGCGTGTGGCAGCGAGGGCAGCGTGGCTTGCTCGGAGCCCGCCGGACTGGGCACTGTTGTGTGCTGTCCGTGCGCCAGGACGTGGTGCCGTCCTGGTGACGGTGCCGCGAGGTCCACGTGAGCGCTGCTCCCGTTTCACCGACGAGGACGCAGAGGCACAGGAGGCCGCACGGGCAGGGGCACCTGGTGGGGAGGAGCTGGGGTTTGGGCCCTGGTTGCCTGGCCTGTGTGGGCGCTCCACCGTTCCCTTCTGCCGCCCCGCAGTGGACCCCCCGGGGGCAGAGGGGCTGCCGAGAGGGACGTGGGCGGGGAGGCCCCTGCATGACACCCGTCCCTCCTGCCACCCAGGTCTGGAGCCTGGCCGTTAACCACCTGAGCTTCCTCAACTCCTTCAAGATGAAGATGTCCATCATCCTCGGGGTCACCCACATGACCTTCGGGGTGGTCCTGGGAGTCTTCAACCACGTGTGAGGGCCTGGGCTCCCGGGGGGGGCGGGCACCGGGCCGGGCACGGGCCAGGCGGGGCCAGGGCGGCCCAGTGGCTGACCTGGTGACCGCCCCCCCCGCCCAGGCACTTTGGCCAGTGGCACCGGCTGTTCCTGGAGACGCTGCCCGAGCTGATCTTCCTGCTGGGGCTCTTCGGCTACCTCGTCTTCCTGGTCATCTACAAGTGGTTGAGCGTCTCAGCGGCCGGCGCTGCGGCAGCCCCCAGCATCCTCATCCACTTCATCAACATGTTCCTCTTCTCCCGCAGCCCCACCAACCAGCCCCTCTTCCCCGGGCAGGTAGGCCCGGGCGGGCACCTCATCTGAGCGGCAGGATCCTCATCGGAGAAGCGGGGATGCAGGCCTGAGGCTGCGAGCCGGGGAGGTGGAGGGGCGGCGGGAAGCCCCCCTGGGAGCGGCGCCCTGGGAGCCGGCAGCTCCTCCCCCAGGACCCTGGCTTAGCGAGGGGCCCTGGGGGAGGCAGCATGGCTGCAGGCTCCGGGGGCCCTGAGCCGGGCGCGTGGCTCGCAGAGGGCACCCTCACTGGAGGCCCCCCCACAGGAGGTGGTGCAGTCTACACTGGTGGTCCTGGCCCTGGCCACCGTGCCCGTCCTGCTGCTCGGCACACCCCTGTTCCTGCGCTGGCAGCGCTGTCGCCCACTGAGGCCCACTGGCCGCCAGCCGGTAGAGGCTCGGGGTGGGGAGGGGGGCATGTGGGGTGACGGGAGGTTTGGCCCCACCCTCGCCACCCCTCGGCCTCCCGAGTGCTGGGGGCCTGCTGAGGCTGCCTGCCCCCCACCCCAGGAAGACGACAAGGCCGGGATTCTGGACGCCTCCGACGCCTCCGTGGCTGGCTGGGGCTCTGATGAGGAGAAAGCGGGGTGCCCAGGGAACGGAGAGGAGGCCGAGGTGGGTGTGCTCTTCCCGAGAGTGTGGGGGGGGGGTGGCTGCCAGCCCGGCCTGCCCCTCACCGCCGCCCACCCCCCAGTTCGTCCTGTCCGAGGTGCTCATGCACCAGGCCATCCACACCATCGAGTTCTGCCTGGGCTGCATCTCCAACACGGCCTCCTACCTGCGTCTCTGGGCCCTGAGCTTGGCCCACGCCCGTGAGTGAGCTGGCCGCCAGTGGGCGGGCTGGCCGTGGGTCAGGCCCTGGCTGCCTCGGACACTCGAGCTGCTGGCTGGGCGGGTCACTGCTCTGGGCCTCAGCATCCCCTCTGTGAAGGGAGGATGTTGGAGGGGGTCCCCCAGCGGCCCCGCGGGCGCGGCGGGGGGCTTCAGGCTGCCACGGGGGCCAGGTGGGCACCCCCTGGGCCCTGGCCTCCACTGCTGCCCCCCCGATCCCCAGAGCTGTCGGAGGTCCTGTGGGCCATGGTGATGCGTGTGGGCCTGCGCATGGGCCGTGAGTTGGGCGTGGCGGCCGTGGTGCTGGTCCCCATCTTCGCCGCCTTCGCCGGGTTGACCGTGGCCATCCTGCTGGTGATGGAGGGGCTCTCGGCCTTCCTGCACGCACTGCGGCTGCACTGGTGAGCGGCCCGCCTGGCGGGCCCCGGGCCACACGAGGGTCGGGGAGCCTGCCCCTCACCAGCTCTCCCTGTCACCCCCAGGGTAGAGTTCCAGAACAAGTTCTACCTAGGCAGTGGCTACAAGCTGAGCCCCTTCACCTTCGCGGAGGAGGACTAGCGCCCCCCTGTGGCCACGCCCGGGTCCCTGCCCTTACCTGCGGAGACAATAAAGATGGACTAGGAACTCGGTCTCGGTCCTGTCTGCGGTGCCAGGGGCTGGCGAGACTGGGGTGGCAGGGCCTGGGCCCTGGGCATGGACTGGTCTCACCCCGTGACACTCCTGGGGTCATGGACTCCGTGCCCGGCTCTATTATACTCACCTTCCTTATGCTGTCACGGGCAGCTGAGCTTGTTGTAGGGTGCAGTGGGGTGGGAGGCCCTGGTCAGGACCTGGGGCCTTGAGAAGTTGGGGAGAGGCCATATGAGAGGTGCCACATGCGTGCACACACCACACACACAGCACACACAGCACACGCACACACCCCCACACCCCCCCTCCCCCCCACACACCCTCTTGCAGAAAGGGCAGAGGCTGTCCGGGCGGCCCAGGAGTTGTCTGGGGCCCGGAGGGCCAGGAAAAGGACTGAGCTGGACTGGGGCTGAAGTGGGGGGCAGAACTAGGACCAGGGAGGGATCTTTCCAGCACATTCTAGCTTCGAGCTCCCCATCCTTGGAGATGTGCAAACTGGCTGTAAGAGAATGTTCGGGATACTCTGGGCATGAAGGGTGGTGCCTGGCACGAGGGGCCAGTCGTTCCATGCCCTGGTGCTGGCCCCGCCCCAGGCACTCAAGATGGTCCGAGGCAGGGAGCAGCCTGGGACTCCAGAGCCTGACCCAGAAGTGGGGACACACACACGTACACACACCACACACGCGCACACACCACACGCACAACACCACACACACACACACACACCACAC